CCCCTTTTTCCCCCCCCCCCCCACCGTGCCCTATAATTCCCCACCTTCCCATTTACAGTGCCCCGCCCCCATGCCCTGTAATTCCCCAGCATCCCGTGTAGGGTGCCACCCCCCACCCTTGCCCTGTGGTTTATTGGATCAGCTGTAATGGATCAATAGAGTGAAATTCACTAATTGTACATTTAGTGTAACAAACCTATAATTATCTAGTGTGCAGCTAGAGGTGGTCACTGACCAAATGTTATTCATTAATTATAATCCATCATTTGAACTGACTGCCAACAATGTTTTTCCCACTTAGTATGCTAATTAAATTCTAAAACCAGTGAGGGGTCGGGGAGAATTAACAAGCTGATTTATTAATTATTATCTAAATAATGCATAGAATTCTGCTGACTAATTTCTTGATCACAGGTCTTGGACAAAAATGCAGATCAATAGATGATGGCTGGTCTTTGAGTGTTTTTCCCCAGCGTAGTGCATGTATTGCAGGTGCTGTCAGTGCTGTGCTACCTGACTGCCATTTTGAGGCACTGCAGCATGGAGGTCTGTCAGCCTGACAGAGCTTGGCACCTCTGTGCGCCGGTCACATGACCACCCAAGGAATGAACAGGTCATTGTTGCATGCAGTTTAAAGGTCAATTTAAATGATTTTAGAATTGCTTCCCAGTGACACGTTTATAGTTGGCTACATGAAGGGCTTTATTGTACTCTGTTCGCGAGCTTTCTGGGGACTTCAGTACTGCCTGGAGATATATACAAGGTCTGAATGTCAGGGCTGTAAAATAAACTGCTTATTTGTTGCTGTCGGTTACTTAAGGCTTTTTGTTTTGATCCTGAACACTGACGATGAATGTCTCTGTTTTCGTAAAATTATATCAAGAAGACTCTTTGGGAAAAGTCACATTGTGGGCAGGCTGTTCTTTTAGATTTAGATTTGGTTTTGGGGTGAATTTTTTTTTACAGGATTTTTTTGGGAATATCTATGCATAGTAAGAATGCTAATACCTACAACATATCTCCTTCATCTGCTGTGATTAATATGATTGGTTGCTTGTACGTTATTGCTGGAGTAGATTTGTTTCTCTGAGTGAAATGGCTATCTCTGCAAGAATGTGGTCCATGTGATAGCTGTATAGCGAGGAGGTAAATCAGCCTGTACTGTAGTATTACTTTAACGGCCTGGGATGGAGTACTTAGTAACTGCTCTAGAGCTGGAGATGTAAATATGACTGATGTCTGCTGAAGGTAATGCAGTCTTCATATGAGAGTTATAAAAGTTGTCATGGTTGACAGCAGTGGCTATCAGGGTGGGGGATAGGGGGCTGACTCCCAGAAGGCCTAGGGCCCTGGGCAGCCACAGTGAGGTGGCGGGAGCCTGTCCGAGCGACTCCAGAAGAGTGTGGGGAGCTGCATAAGGTGCCTTTGGGTGCAGGATGTAATTGAGTGTTGCAGATAAGACAATAGGATTGACTGCAGCTCCTCGTCAGCTCACAATGCTGAGGGCATTCGGCACAGCTAGCTG